ATCGATAATTATATATGTATATAGACGTATACATATATTGAAGAATATTATTATGGAGCGGTTTAATTGGTAAGTTAATTGAAACAGAATTTTTTGGTTTTATAAATATTGTTTATTTCCTCGATGATAACTATCGAAGATATCATTTATTTTATTGATATTTTTTAAATCATTTAATTGATTGACTAATTAAACCCATTCGATAAGTAATGCATAATATTAGATTATGAAAATAAATTATATTATGGATTATTATTTTATTATGGATTTTTGTGGATTATAATTTTATGATAATAATTTTTCATATGATATTTTGCGACTGTAAGTACCAAGAGTTCAACATGTACTACAGAAAGTTCGGGTTCTGTTTGAGTTCAACCATTAGTAATTTCAATCTAAAAATATATATGTATATATATATATATATGATATATGTATATATATTTATTGTATAAATAATTTAAATATTTTACTCAAATTAATTAATTTAATTAATTAATTTAATTTTTGTAGTTATTTTCTCTTACTATATTCTCTGAGAGATTCTGTTATATCGAAAAAAGGATGTTTGCTTTCTTCATCATTTGCATTTAATAAATAATTTAGTTATATTTGATTTTATATATATCTTCATATCTGACTTACTATATCTTTCAATCTTGAGTTGCTTTATTGTCATCAACTTAATTTTTTTATGTTGCTATATTGATAAGTATATATTTCTATGTATTCTATATTACTCAGACATTTTTATGAAGAAGAGTTTAGGTATATAGACGTATACATATATTGACGACGTATACAGAGTTACAGAGTCCATCGACGATAGCATTCGATTTCGTATAATAATGATTAAAAATTTTTTTCGATTTCGGTAATGTATTTTATGACGGATTTGGTATTTGTTACTATTGTAATGCACTTTTCTTCATATTAATATTTTTTTTTTAAATATTAATTAATGATTTTTTTGTTGCTTAATAGATTTTAAGTGTTACTGCCTGAAAAATTATTATTTCTATAGATATTTATTTGATTGATGTTGACTTAACCTTGGATAATTTTATGTATTTAGTACAATCAATATAATCGGTTGATTTTAATAATGGATTCCATTACTCCCTCGTTATCATGGCTACATACATTGTTATTTTTTATTCATATCAAAAATATTATTTTTAAAGCAATAAAAACACAGTTCTCCAAAAGGTATTCAGACTTTTATTGTTTCTTCTTTTCCCCATTTTTCTTCCTTTCCATTCCTTACATTCTTTTCTAATGTACATAAGTTTAGTGTTTATATAAAATATATTAAGATTTTCATATTTTCTTCCTTTCTCCATCTTTCTTCCTTTCCTAAACATCCTTTATAACATAATCGTAGAGGATGTACAAAAGGTTCATATTTATATTTAAAATATTCAGATTTTTTTTTGAAATTCTGTTATGTATATTTTGTAAAGATCTAGAATAGATTTTTCCCATTTTCCTCTTTCCACGTTTTTCATCAATTTGTGTTTATTATTACTTACTTCATAATAAAATATGTTTAAATAAAATAGATCTTATTCAGTTTTCATATATCTTCACCGAGAACTTTTTTTACAGATCCAGATTTAATTTTTTCAACGCTCTCATTCTTCTCTCTTGTCATCAATATACCATATGCAAAATTATAAAAAAATATACAAAAGCTCCATATTTTTAAAAAAGTATTGAGATTTTTATGATTTCTTTAGTATTTTATAGATCTGAAAGAGTTGTCCCTCCCAATCAACTTTCTTTTCTTTAATCATAGTTTTTTAAGAATATAATTCTTAGACTTAGTTCTTTGAAAATTATTGACATTTTTATATATTTTACTGCAGCATTTTTTTAGATTTAGAGTTAATTAATCCCACCCTTCCCTTTCCCTTCGCCATTAGTTGTTAAAATGACCTTTAATTATTTGATTAAATTAATAAATTCTTAATTGCTAATAAAAAATTAATTAATTTACCTCTAGATGTGATATAATGATATGATCAATTTTGGTGCTTAATTCTGAATTGCATTTAAGCAAGTCAGAGCAAGTGACTTGACCCTGTCAGCTGGTACATTTTGACGGAAATGCATTCGGGTCAAGTCACGATAATACGATGTGCGCATAAACAGTAAGTACTCGTCTGTAAGGAGCTCACACTGTTCGATCAAAACTAAACCCTGATTATGTCTCTTAAAAATATAAACATTCCAACGGTCTGCAAATGATCTGTGTATGAAGTTTATTATCGTATCAATGGGTGTACCACTAATCGCATAAGTATAAACCGAACCAGCGATAGAATGAGCGAATGTCACATCTGGATCTATTTCTAAATTATTAATCTCAGCCACATCCATTGCTTCTGCCATTTATCTTGAAAAATTAATTCTTCTCTATATAGAAAAAAAATTACTTTGAAATGTGAATTTCAAATGAAATTATTTAAGGAACAGTCAAAGCATATCAATTTATATTAAAATAGAATTTCTGAAATAAATTAAATTGCCTACAAATGCAAATACATTTACCAGATACTCACATTTATGGAATTAATTATGTGTAGAAATTAAATCTTTAATTTAAAGCTAAATACTTTCTTTGGAACTATTCAAGTCTCTTGATTATTTAAAAACTACTATGAAGCAAAAGAGAAAATCTATTCAAATTAAAATGTAGATTTAAATCCGGGCAAAATTTTGAAATATATTTTATTTTGAAATATATAGAATACTTGATTAGCATATATCTTATTTCATTAATTATTTTATTTTTTCAAATTATACTGCGGTTTAAAAATAGTAGAAATATACTTGATGATGAAGCCATTTTATGATATATCATGTAAAATTAACATCGTTTGCAGAAACGGCTGAAAGAGATTTACAGTTCTTGCAGCACGCAGCGCTAAATTGAAATGCAAGCCTACCATTCCTGAAGAGTGTTGGATGCTAAACTGACAGCCTGAAATTGTGACAAACTACAAACATAACGTAAGCTATAAGAGACTTCCGAAATAAATCAACAAATAGAGAACTTCAGAAATATTACTTGTACTAGAGTACTTGTTCAAGTCGACCAGACTCTCAAAAAGTCTCAGTGTTGAATGAATCTAAAGGCAATAATTTTATTATCATTATCATCACCATCATTTGTAGTTAATAGAATTTGTGTTGCATTTAAAGCCTCCCTCACAAAAGTCATATTCTTCAATATACAAGATCAGTGGCTTACTTATTTCGTAATTTTGAATATTTATAGTTTTTAAAAATGCTTTCACTATATCAAGTCGTCTATTGGAACCTTCTTCTTCCCCTTGAGCCGTATTGTTTTTTTATTAAATATACGTTTACATGTGCTATCATCCAGCATTCAATTATTATGTGCAAATCAACAAATATGTTTTTTGGACCTAACGGATGATAATTTCATTATGGAAGAGATGCTTCAGTAGAGTTTATACAGCATAAACATATAACTTGTTGTAGTACATGTAGGTAAAATTATCAATTGGACGCAAATATTTCGAATTGATTAACGTTATAAAAGAAAACTCGTTTAAGGTATTAAAATGAGTCCATACCGAAGTCATTTCATACCAAAATCAGTCCACACCGAAATCATTCTGTAACAATTATTTGATCAATCTAATTTCGGAATACTTATATTACATTTAATGGGACCCACTTTCAAGAAGACAAATCAAATTTTAATTGGTTTTTAATGTTAGTTTATCTTGCCGAAAGTGACGCGTCTTTATCACGAAATGATGCTACTTAAAAGTTTGGCGGATTCGAATAGCAGAGAAAAGACAAGAACAAAAATTTAATTGTTTTAATTTAATTGTTTTTATTCAAAATTATCATTTTGAATATTTCTTATGTTGAATTATATATTTATGTTATAATAACATATAATTTAATTAATTATAAAATAATTAATATATATAATTCAATTAATTAAAATATAAAAAATTTTTATTGTTGTAGTTTATTACTATTTCAAAAACTCTCTATATATAAAAAGTATTTCTTCATAAGCTTAAATTTATATATGATGAATAAATTATTTTGTATAGAAAATGAGTATGTGATATAAAATTACAACAATATCTTCCTTATATTGAATGCATTGAATTCTTATATGTATAACCTTACAATTTTTTTTAAGTATTGACAACTACCCATCATTAGTCGTGTTCGTATATATATTTTGAACTTAATTTCTCGTACATTAGAACTACTAATCATACGTAACTTTAAATGAATATACAAAATCATTTCTTACCGGTTAATAATAATTTACTTTTAAATCTTACATAAATCATTTTTGCGAGCTTCCTTTGAGCTCGGGGTCGTCAACGACCGTTAGTGGCGTCTCAAGTCGCTGACGGTCAACGCTGCCATTGTGTGAAAAGCACATATTTTTTAAACCTATTGCAAAGAGCAATAACCCAAATAACTGTAGGGTCACCCAAATCATTAAAAATATTTAAACAACGTCCTTACCCTTTCAGTGCTAGCAAACAATATTAATATACAAGACTTTTCTCATAAAAATATCCATTCACTCAAAAGAGCCTTCTCATTGCAATTCCGTTTGATTTATTCCAGTTATTTTATTTCCCGCCATAAATAATTAACCTTCCATAACTAAAACTTCATTTTGTTAATTGCATTGTTTATTAAAGCCGAAATTAGCTTTGCGTTTAATAAAAACATTATTCATCATGTTTTTTTATTCTGTGGTATTCTGCACTATATAAAATAGTTCCATTAACTTTATTTACATAAATCTTATATTTACACATAATGGCTTTTTTACGCATTACAACATGCAAAGCATCATAACAATTAATTTTACACATATTCCACATTAATACACGATTACATTACATTTTTATATACCATATATATATGCTTTATACTAATATATGTATCTATATGTAAACAGATGTATATTGAAATATATCCTATGTTCTATAAAAAAAACTCCATAAACAGAAAGAGTAGCAGAAACAAATCATTTTGGTAGTAAATAACAAAATCATAATCGTAACGGCGAAGAAAAACAGAAGCTTTTTTTAATTTATATTCAAAGTGTGCATTGAAATATAATAACATAGACTCACGCAAGGACCTTGGCCCTTGCTTTTGGCTGGACCTCATGTCCTTTGTTTTATGCTGGCTAATTCACGCATTCATTGTTCGTTCGCTTACCCGCTGACTTGTATCTTAGCCAAAAGACTAATTGCGTATGGCACTGGTAATTAAAAGTCGTAAGCCTGCAAAAATAAAAGGACGAAATATAAGAAATAAGAAAACATTACATGCAAAATTTCAAATTTGACGCAAAGAAATGATGCTTTGCCTTAGATGAATAAATTCATTATGAGAAACATAAAAACTCATAAAATTTTCTGCATAAATCATAATCTTATCCTTTACACACGCAGAATATTAAATATATTAAGTTTGCACTTCTAGTTTGGTCATTCAATTTATGGCTCACACAATACTTAACCTTTAGATAAACTATGAATTTAATCAACAAATTATATATATATATTAATGTCAATGTGCATACACAATATATTGTCAATATTATTGACAATTACAATAATCCAACACTAAAAATACAGCGAAATCTGATAAACACAAGCAGATACAAAGACATCACATCCATCATTTTATAAAGCCCCATATTCAGTTATTCTTAGTGTGACTTAAACTGTCCACAGATATAATAGAGTTAAGGTTATGAATCACCAACTCAAACATCTGCATATCAACACATCAACATACACAAAAAAACAGATACCTATTGCAACCATGAACAACTTACTTACATACTTACTGTTGTCTTCTTCTCCTTGTGGAGCATAGGGCCCCTGCCATAGATAAGCCTAACTCTATTGAGTGATTTGTGGTTTATATAATTACAGTTACGATTTGCATTATGGAGTTCTCTATCTATAGTTCTGCGCTATGTTTGTGCTGATGCGACAGGACTTCTAGACTCTTGGAGGTTTCATCTGAGTGCTGTTCTTGCAATATGTTCTCGCAAGTCTTCGAAGTATGTGACCAATCCATCGCTACTTGCTTCGACCAATCTAAATTGGAACGCTTTTTTGCTGTGTATGGCTCCACAGGTCTTAATTACTTATTCTTTCAGCCATTTTATACCAAGTAGTCTGCGCAAGCACTTATTTATGAAAGTCTATATTTTTGATACAATTCTAAATCTTCAAAATGTCTACTGTATTCCAAATTTTCCGTTCATTCAACCACTCATAACTTCATCTAGGCGGAGATAAAATAAGCGACAAATAACATCCCTGTCACAATCCAGTATGAACTTCAAATGGTTCTGACAGCAGACCGGTGTGCAGAATTCGACATTTGAAATTGTTGTCCATGGCTTTGACTATATTGATTATTTTCGATGGTAGACCTCTGCGCAATAGATAATCTCTATATATAATCTCTGTTAATACTATCTAACGCTTTTTGAAATCAATAAACAATGCATATAAAGAAGTACGAACAACTACCTTTTAACAACACTCTATGGCAATCAAAAGTATATGTCAAGGATTTTGAAAAAGTATTCTACCTTGACAGTTTAATAATCACTGGCGGAGGACCTAAAATAGATTTTGCACTGTGAGGATTAGTAATCACAAAAAATATCAAAACTCATACGAATCCAACGTCAAACCACTTCTACTTTTTGACATCAAAACTTGAAAATAATATATACTGAAAACCACAAATGTTTTTAAACAAATGTGTTTAAAATAATTTTTCACGCCTTTTAGTCTTGTGTTATCTCTAATAATAATCTATCGGACTTGACAAACAACATTATGATCTAATAAAAATCATTAATAAAAATAGAAATAGATGTGGATATAATACTTCTTACAAAGATAGAAGAACAAAATCACAAACATGATTTTTAGGTACAATCCGAATGGTTAAAGAGATTTAGTTTTCACCTTATAAGCGGATAAAGAGCGTCAGAGTATCAAGAGTAACTTTAATCTTTCCTTTTTCTTTTTATAGACTTTATATATTTTGTGAATATTTTCTTTTAGAGACTAACATAATAAGTACTTGAAACTTAAAACTATTTAATAATATTACAAAATTATGTTACATGTCAACACTTACTAGCTACTACCATATAATAAGTAAATCTTATTTTACGGGCCTCTACTGTACATTATTGGGCTAAGAGAATAGAAAGACTGGTATATGTTCCGTGAATAGGCGGTCCATTGAACATTATTGGGCTAGAAGAATAGAAAGGCAGGTATATATTCCGTGAAGAGGCGATTTGAGGATCATATATTCTTGCTAGAAGAAAAAAAAAATGAAAAATGTGATAAAAACAATAATAATAAAAAATAAAGTAGGGTTAGTTTTGACTTCTGTCAGTGAGGTGTAATCTTTTGGATCTTGAGTGTCTTACCGTAAAAGCAAGTTTCGTGACGAAAGGTTTATTTTAGGTATAAAGTTAGGTATTTTTATGAAACTTTTAAGAATTCCGATTTTATTGTAGGCAACATACTTGAAGGCCATTGTTAGTTAAATGTTTTAAGAATATATTTAAAACAATCTTTTTATACTACTAGAATCATGGAAACAATTTTTAAGATTATTTCAAATTTAAATTTTTGAATAGAAACTATTGCTTTGTTATTATGTTGAAGTTGTTTTGAGCTAGTGCACTTAAGCACTTATACTCTTTTTTAACTCGAGGTATTTGCAAGAAGTATTTTGAACAGCATTAAATCACAACAACAAAATTGTATTATTTATTAATTATTTAAATTTGGATAATGGGTTTTTGGTAATACTCTAAACAGCTGTATGGTCAGCTAAAACTTCAATTAATTATTAAATAATGAAATTTTGTTTTTGTAAAATAAAATATGTTGTTCAAAATATCTCTGTATATTATATTATTAATATTATTAATATATTATTAATATATTATTAATATTATTTCATATGCAAATTTTAAATACATAATGAAAAACTTTATATCGTTAATATAACATATAAGAATATAACATATTCCTCACATCTGTGAGGAAATAAATTTTTTTAAATAAAGTAATAAAAAAAAATATGAAAATGGATATATTGGTTGTTTGTTGTAGCTGTAAAAATTTTTCCTCAGCTCATACTCAACGTTAATTAAATGTGCTATAGACTATATACTATCGAAAACAGTGTTGGCCAATCTTTCTCATAATTACTTCTAACTGTGTTTCTTGCCAGTTAGGCCTCTGGCATCGCATAGTATAATCATAGCTTAGCATGGTAGACAAATGTTATACTATTTATTTTGTCTTTTATTGGTTGAAGTTAGGCACTAATATCATTTATACCGGGAAAAAAGTCTATAGTACTTATAAATTATGATTTATATCGTTTCGTTCTAGTCTGTCAAAAATAATAATTAGACTCAACGGATCTCCTTAGCTTCATCTCAAAACTGATAATGTAAGAAGTTGAATTATAAGGGCATCATGATGGGCATTAGTTGAATCTAAGTGATACTGTTAATGTTCGTATCAACACATGCCTTTTAAACTTATGCTGATCTAAAAATAATGAATGCTGATTCAGATCTAATAACAGATTTTTACCAAACCAATCCACTCTAGGAAACATGGTCGACACTTGTTGATACCTGCTTAATACCTTAAAGGTCGTGTTTGCCACTGAATTATTTTTTATTTTTTGCTTAAACCATATTTATTTTTGAAAAATATTTTCAATATATAATCTAATCTACTCTTTCCTCTCTTGTTAAGTAATTTTAATGCATTTCTAACATTAGGGGTATTCAGGCAACTGATTAGTTGCTTAGTAGTTGATTACAACAAAAATTTGCACACAAAAATGAAACTAAGCAGAGAATCAACTATTTCGGTGATTCTCAGATTAGTACAAATTTGATTAATAGTGCTACCAATACCAAGTGTCGTAATAATAACTTAAAATGAACTTTAGTATAGGAATTTGTTAGCTGTCTCTCTCAGCTGTTTGTATTGTGTGTAAACAATTTTGCAAACACAAATATGTTTCACTTTTGCTGTTGATGCGAGTGCTGCCAAGGCATTTTCACACAACAAACTAATCAGATTACGCATTTTGGGTCGTTCAAGCAACTGATTAACATCAAAATGCTAAATTTTTTTTATATGAAGTTTTTGAATAAACTAAGCAACGAATCAGTTGCCTGAATACCCCTATTAATTGTGATACTATTAAAATTAAGTTGTGCATGGCTAGTTTGTCAAATAACAATCAGTTAATCAAACCATTATGGTAAATATTCTTTAATTTGATTTCTAGTATAGTCCGAATATTAATATGGTTGCTAGAAATCAATTTTCATGAACATTTTCTTTTCCTTTATCTTAAAAAAAACCCTTCTATTTTCTTATTAAAAAAACTTATTAATCTTTAAATGGTTATATATTTTTTTTGTTTCTTTATATTATATCAATACCTCATTTTATTATAAATCGTTTTCGCTAAGGAACTTTCTATCTATCGCATGCCATTTTCTCGTAATCAACATCTGAAGTGAGCTGCTTACTGATTTTCCTTTAAAAGCGCACAAACTTATTTATTATTATTCTTAAGCTCTAACAAATTTGTGCTTGCGAAGGCAGATACTTATAGTAAATCAAGCATCCTTGCATTTAATGGTGCATTCTTATCGAATTAAATTCATTATTGATATTACGATTTGGTTAATGCATATTTACTTCATGTCAAAAGAAACGCAAGTTGCACCAAAAGCAATAGTGCAAGTGCATCAATGTTATTGAAGTTATCCTCGAGAATAGTAATCAAGGAAAATTATCTTGGGGTGATATGATAATTCAATTTCTGTTATTGTATTAAAATTGTTAGTAGAAATGAAACACAAAAATTGAAGTATTAAAATATTATAACAATTTGAAAAATATGTTTAAATCTATTTTCTTGACTTGATGTGCAAAGAGGTATATATTTTCATATACTAGATTAACCAGGTCGTTGTTGCAAAACTAAACGTAACTAAATTGAAATTTCGTTCAAACATTTATTTCAATATATTGTTTGGGTGTGAAGTACAACATCATTTATATATTTTTTACAATACCATCCACAGATCCATTTGAGGATATTTTCGAATACCTATTAGCACAAAGTTAGCAATAGTTTGCAAAAACGGATTTGCAAAAATTTTACAACTGATTTTCACTACTCAATTTTCATAAAGGAACTCAATGCTATAAAAATGATATGTTGAAGAAGTGTTGAGAGTGATATGATTTAAGAGAGATAATTTTTTCTGCTTATACTTTTTTTTGGAACGACAGAAATTTCTCCACAATATCTCACCAAGAAAGCTCTTTTATTTTTATTATAAATATTATAGTAGTCCTGAAGATAGGAATTATGACTATACACATGAGTCTGGAACATGTTGTCATACCATTAAGGTATTTGTCTCATTTCCCCAAACATTCTGGCAGTCTTTACATAACTTATTCTTACTGTGCCCCTTTAAAAAATATTGGTAAATTTTTTTTCCCTTTAGGTTTGTTTTGTCGGCTAAAATATTTAGTATTTGTAACCATTTTACTTAATAGAAACTATTGTATTGTATTGTTAGCTAAATATTTAATTAATATAAACTAATAAAATTTTGTTGCAATTCACTACATAATTTTTGAAATTTTTTACTTCCGCCTGAACACGGAATTGCTTTCAGAAAAAGTCAATATTTCCCCTGTCCCCAAGATCACCGCCAGAGTTCTTTTATCTGCAGTCTCCAAGTCCGTGACGATATATGCTGCCCATGTGTGAACGCATAACGAAAAATGCACATAGGCTGTCAAACTTACGCATTTGCCGTGATTACTGTACAGTACCGGATGACGCTGCAGTAGTATTGGGTGGACGTATGAAAATAGATTTTGAAACGCTCAGACCCAGAGACAGTTTTTTCCTGCGCTGTCGTCTACAGATTAGTGAAACTGACTAATCGCTGTCAGATTCTTATTTAAAAATAAGAAACAAATACCTTAATGAATGGCAACATCGTAAGGGGTCATTCCCAAAAATTCCCAAAAGATAGACGCACTTGCTAATTTCAAATATAAAAATTTGGATCAGTCGAGAAACTGGATACTTGGAATACTTGTTACTAAACACAATTTGCAACAGGGCATGAATACTTCCGTGAATTTAAGGTTAAGGCTGGCAAGTAATCTGTATTGCCAGTTTTGTCCACATAAAATTGAGCGCCCCGAACATATACATAGAAACTGTATAAGATTCGTAGATACTCGGCAAAATCTAGAGACATTAATCGCGAAAGCCAACCCTTCTTCCCTTGTAAAGCAGATGTTGACAGACACTGAAGAGTGAAACCTCTACAAGTGCATAATCTTTAGAACAGCAAACAAAAGCGGACGAAGTACCTAGTACGCAATCAGAGTAAAAGGAAGCTAATTGCTCTTCTAAACTGTTCTGTGAAGGAACAATTTAATTAGTCGCAGTGATCTCCAGGATTTTGATCTGAATATGTAGGGACTTTTTAGTCCGTAGACATGCATGCCTAAATGGTATCTTTGCAAATTATATCTTTAGAAGATTTTTCCTCCAGGTTTGATACCTACATTAAGAAGCAGTGACCTATTGGTTTTTACAGTTCTACAGTCTCTTCAATTAAAAAATCTACATGTATGTATATATATTTTATCTTTAACTATTTCGAAACATTTTGTAGGGTGTCCCTATTGTAGTGTTGATCCTTTCTAATATTTTTCATTTTATTGTTAATAAAGCAATAATTTTAAAGCAAACTTTTTTTTTACTTACCCAGTGAACCTTGACACGTAATGAGTCTGTTCGGTTGTTTATTGTTTTGGTTGTTGTTGTTGTTTTTATTGGCAATTAACGTGTTTGTTAGTTTTTTTTTTATAGAAATTAATTATGTGGTTTATTGGTGCGGGCCGCATAAAAATTAAATTAATTTTTATTAGTGAAATAATAAATAAACTTTTTTTCTGTTAGAGAAACTAAATTAAAACAATTAACTGAGCTTTTTTGTTTTTTTAATTAAATTACATTTACATTTTTTATTTTTTATTTTTACGTTTTTATTTATTTAATTTCTTTTTTACAATTAAGCTAGTATATAACTAATTTTATTTAACTAAGGGAAGGATAATTTGTTCATGTGCTTGAAAAATTATATTTACAAACATTACATTACATACAATATACAAATAATATTTCGACTTACAATACCAATTTTAATATTAAGATATTTTTAGCAGATAAGTTTGAGTGTACAAAGATGCAAGATTAAATCTTAATTAAGTGGAATTTACAAAATACAAGTACAGATATTCTTTCTGAATTTAAAATTAGAAATTTAATTATTTAGTCAAGTAGTTACCATTGAATAGCTGTACTTTATACACTTAACTCATTTGCTTTCAACTAATGCAGTTATAATAAATTTAAGTTGCACTTAATTATCCTTCTCCAAATGCACTTGCACACTCAAAACGCTTTTAAGGACTACGGTGCACTCACAGAAGATTTCAATTAAATTTATATATATTTATATATATTATGTAAAAATTTACACACTAACCTAATAAATACTTCATGTTTACAGCATAAAACACTTTTAGTGTTAAACATTAAAAATAATAAAAAAAAGTAGAAAATAGAAAATAGAAAACAGAAAATAAAAAGAAAAAGAAAAAGAAAATACTAAATAGAACCAATAAAACAAAAACCAAAGATATGTTAAGAAGTGTGTATGTTAAGGAGTATAATCCTGTCAAGCTTATAAGAGTGCAGAATTACACTTCAACATTTACAAAAAAAAAAAAACAACAAAAAACACTACAGCGAATATACACAAACCAAATAAAAATAAAAATAAAAATAAAATACAAATAAAAATAAAAGTTAAAATGGAAATAAAAGTCATAATAAAATTACCAAAATTGACACATCAGATACATTTTTTGGGGTTAATACTACCAACCATACAGGATAACGAGCATAAAGAAGTAATGTACAAATACGTTTACAAACATAATTACATATACATAAAAGCATAAATCAAGGCTTCTAGTTTCAGCTTTTAGCTTATCTGCTACATATATTTGTATATAATATATTTAGTTTTTTTTTGTTCTTTTTGGATTTTTATATTTGTAATATTTTTGGCATTTATGGCACAAGTTTTTTAAATCCAGCACCTTCTTGGCCAAGTTTGAGCTCTTCATAAATTGTGGGATTTACTTCTTTGCATTGGGTTGAGTGCGCATCTGTGCTGTTGATGCCATCTGTGACATCGCGCGTTGGTGGCTGTGAGGTGGTGCCGCTATTTGTTATGGCTGATGTCACAGTAGGTAACTACCGGAAGTTGGAAAAAAGATTCGTATAAATTGGAATGTATAAATACAAACATACAATAAACATTGAAGGGTATTTGGCATGTTAGCGTAATACACAAATACACAGTTGAGATTAAAATAAAAAAAAATCAAAAAAAAAAAATATAAAAAAATAAAAATGAACTTTTTTTCCACATGAAAACGTAATAATTCCAAGTACCTTTACATGTTTATTTGGTATTTAACATAAAAAACCCTTAATCCTCTCTACTCACCTGCACTTGTTCCAGACCACGAGTGTATGTGGGATTTTCAAAAGCTACACCATTGCCAGCTATCTTACCGTTTGCTCGATGGCGTCGATAGAATATTATGGCTGCTGCTGCCAGCAATATTGCCAATATGCTGGCAATAATGCCGCTGATTGTGCCAACAGCATGCGAATATGTTGTCGCTGATGTGACATGATTATCACCGAGTGTGAATTTGATGGGTTCTGTTAAGACACTGGCACCTTTCGAGAGCAAAAAAAAAAAAAACGAACATAATTGATTTTAAATGTTAACTGAATAATTTATATGTCATTAAATATAAGTACTTCCACATTTGTGAAATAATTTGATTATTAAGATCTACCACACATAAATAATCAAAATTTAATCTTGACTTGAATAGTCAATAAATATAAAGATCAAATATTGTATAATAGTGTGTGGTTGGTATTAATAAACAAATTATTTCACAAATGTCTATTTACATATCATTTAAATCATCATTATTAATAATTACCATTAATAAATAATAAATTATGAATTTAATATTCATAATGAGTAATAAATTATAAATTTATAATTTTAATTAACTATTAAGACACAATCAAAGAAATAAAACTTAATTTCTTTTGAATCTATTTTTTTATAACAACCTGTCAGGTATGAATGACTATAAGTAATATTTATTAATAAAAATTGTCATAATAATTAAAACAATAATAATTAAAATAATAATTAAAATAGAAAAATCTCAAATAGTAAATATCGTATATTGTTATAAGATTGTATATATAGAAAGTCGTAATTGATTATGATATAATATCGGAAGTAATGATAATGATAGGATAATGATTAGATAATGAAAGTCTTCTAACACTAAAATCAAATTATATATGTCGAAAATTATAAGAATTATCAAAAGATTATAAGTATTATAAAAAAAAGCTACGAGAAATCGAAATGCAAGGAGCTAGGTATGTAATGGAAAGTTAAGTGACTCTTTCGAATCTACTACAGGTACTAAACAACAATGCATCCCCTCGCCGTTGTTATTTATCATAGTTATAGACTGGGATTTCAATTAAAGGCTTTAGAGTATGAATTAGAAACATGCCTCGTAACAAAAGCAAGTAAAGCGAAACTAACAGTGAAATTTGTAAATCGTTTACAGAATTTCTGTCACAGAATAAAGATAGATGAAAATCATTTGTTGTATCCTTAAGCTCCTAATGGAGTATGGAATAAATAATATTATGTCGGAAATAGAATTTGAAGGAGAATATTTAAAATAGTTGCATATAAAGTACAAGGGGGGCTTTGAAATTTTTCCAAATAAATATTTTTAAATAAAGTTTGACCTATTTTTTAAAATCCTCTCCTTAGATGAGTCTCTATGTCCGCGGTTTATTGAAAATGCACTTTTAATTAGTTAAGCAGAATTTAGTGATGTGTGGAGATATCTAATGAGAAAAATTCAGAAATTATAAAGAATGAATGGGTTGCTTATTAACATTCTTCGCCTCGCTTTAAATGGGACTCGCTTTACCTTTTTAAATAGTAAAAGGTAATGCCTGATTAATTCGTTGTCTTTCAAGTGATTTGTTTGAAATTTAAATAAACTAAATATTTATGCTATAGTAAATTATATATTATTGCTTATTGATTTTTTTGTTTATATACTTGAGATTTACTAAACGTCATATTTTGCATAATTTTTCATTGATTTTTGGTACCTATAAAATTATGCCATTTGAAATAAAATTTGGCGATATAGTTCACGTATTTTATTTACCAAATTTCATTTCTCTATTTGTTATAGTTTTTAAGATATTAAAATAAATGTAAAAGTTTAATATGTTTGGACCTAAATTTCGATGGGTTTCGGTATTCCAATTGGGCTTAAAAATGGTTTATAATTTTAATGGTCAAGTAATTTTAAATCTGACACATATTCTAACGCCTATACTCGTATTAATTTCACGTTGTTTTCTTTGAGTAATCTTGATTTATTTATATATTGGTGTAGTTAATTGGTAACATAGGAATTGCATTATTTATAGTCGAGATGCACAATAATAGTGAAAATTTATTAAAGAAATTCGAAAGAAATTACTACAATTACTCAGTCGAGGTAATTCACTCTAACAAGAGTTTTATTGAATTGTAATAAGAAGTTATTACAGATGTATAGTTCAAAGCTCAGCATATCATCTTAACAGAATATATAATGCATTTGACTTAACAGAATGCAATTCTGAATTAGTGTAAGTATCTACAGAAGCAAACAATTTCAGAGTTCTGTCTTTGATAGATATACTTTTGCATACTCTTGACTCTCAAGTCTTTTCGTATATTTTCATTTTTGACGTACCATACCATAAAGCTTTTTGCATACATTTCAATTTCATTTCAGTTTAAAAATATAAAGAAGTAATTTCTGTAACATATGTAGGTAGTATCTAGTGTTGGCGGGCTTAGACTACGCATAGATCTGCTTGATCTGTAACGATACCCGACAACAGTCCATAAAGGCCATCTAGTGACAGTTCACATCACTCAAGATTTGTGTGTCATTTACAATTTTAGAAAATAGTTTACTCCGATGTCAGAGACAAACTTCATCCCCTCCAAACTGGTGGGTTCAAACACCTATATATAACACAATAACCTAGTATATAACTTATTAAGACTTCGTTACTTTAAATAAAAAACAATTTTTTTTTTAAATTAATAAATTTATTATGATGTATGAAATTCTATAATACAAGTCAATGTACTTTCATAACTTTTAAAGCTTTTCGAGTTTCTTCTTATAGTAGAAATTGATTTGGCAGTTTTACTTAAACATTTGCTCAATATTTTAAGAGTTTCACAAGACGCCATCTATACGTCGGTAGTAGAACTAATACTGTAAGGCCATTTTTAAACAAACTTCATCTATTATGAGAACATATCTATCATTCTTTGTTTACAAGTCACTTAAGGATGACGTGTCAATGTATTTTTTATCAAGAGAAAAAATTAAACATCATGCGGTAAATAAATGCTTCATAAAAAAGATTTAATAGCAATGAAACTTCATATCGATATGGTAGCGATAACGAATCTATGACACGCGTGCCACGAGTAGCAGTTATGAAAATTTCTCTAACACGCACGCTATCCCTATTAGTGAGTATAGCGATGACGAACCAAAGCACGCGTGCCATAAGTGACACGTATGTAAATGTCTGTAGTACACTATTCTCATTAGTAATAGGCACGTGTGGTCAAAAATATAACTAACTTCTGATTTTGAAATTTTAAAACACTTTATTGATATATGACCTAGAGCTCACCTCGAGCTTAATAACAAAATTCTAAAATTTGGACGTGATTATATATAGGTTAGCCTTCAGTGCGTTAGCAGTATCTGCTTCCTTGTAAATTGACTAACTTAATTAAAACTGTTTATACAAAGGTCTATATGACCTATCTATCTAAAGAATTGTCAATCTGAAGAATGTCTAAAAATAGCTTAATCTGTGCTTAAGAAGTTTAATAGCTTCTGGTCTAATATGCTGGGCAAAAATCGTCGGAAATATATAGGGTATGAAAACTGCATAAACACCTGAAACCTTTACAAAAATACAGAAAAGTTTAAAAGCCTGTTAATTAGCCAAGAAGTATTTAATAGATTTTTTTGGGTTCTTCTGGTATAGTGAGCTATAATTTAAGTCAATTTTTTGATTTCATAGGTAAGTGTTTAGAAGCAGGTCATAATTCCTATAAAATTTAAAGCTTAAAGACCGAGAACTCGCATGGATCTATAAGACCTTTATCGATGTCAGATTAGGGTTTTTAAAAGCAGTTAATGATGATACACATAATCATAACAATTCACAGCGAATTTTTAACTTCGCTGAACTTCATCCAAGTTCAGAAACTACCAAAAACTTATAACCGCAAAAATTTTTAACAAGTTTTAGAGAAAGCCGGGGAAAAACATATAAGATCCTAGAGTAGAATGTTCATGAGAGACAAATTTACTAATAATGTAACAAGCAAGTTTTTAAGTAAACATCTATTGCGTTAGAGAAGGTGGCGTTGTATATCGTTTTATCCTTATTGTTGAAACAGGGACCCACCCTCATCATCGTCCAACAAAATAAGAAGTTAAAAGTCAGAATCATGTTTGTGTTCAAAAAGTATTTTAAAAGTAGTAACTATCAGTGTTTTGGAATGTAAAAATAATTTTGTTTATAGATTGTCTCAAATGGAAAATAAGTTTTTCTGCATTGGTTATTCCTTATAAATGAACTACACTTAGACTTACCACTGATGTTTGGAGTCCAAACAAGAGGCCAATAATAATCTTCTTCGAAGAAATTCGTGTTCACACCATGATTGAGAAAATGTTTGCAGACAATCATAGTTTATAATTTTAACCTTTTGTTCTGACTGGATGCAATAACTCCAAATGTTATTAGACTATCTTCAAGATAGTTTAAAATTTATCTTCAAGATAGTTTAAAATTTATAATATTAACTTTTTAGATTAATTGGATTCAAAAACTCTAACTAAAAGGGCCGTTTTGTTGTCAAAAATATAACTATTTTCCATCAAGACAGATTTAACTATATCTGATCTTGATACGGATTAAAGTTGGATCACCATATGATATTGAATCATCATATATAGAGTACAATAGTTTATAAATGGATACCGTGTCACGAACAGCCAATGTACGATCTTACCAAATACTAACATATTATTAATTAAGTAAAGTAAAATGATTACTTTTACTAACACTTTGTTTGCAGAGATTATTACTAAATACACTAACTGGATCTTCACAGAAAGTGCTTTAAAAGTCCACCCCTTTACATTGAAGATCCGGTGACTTTTATTACCATTTTGTATGTTAAGGGTCTTACAGAAAGTGCTTGTAAGACTTTATGTAAAAGTCCACCTACATATTTCCATAGTAGATTCGGTAAATGCAAAGCTTGGATCTCTTTGACTATTAATTACATATTTAAATTAAAACTCATATATTGTCTTATGAATGACTTTCTCTCATATTAAACATTATTTCACAAAAACGCGTTTTTGATTTAAAATTTATAAAGGATTAAATAATTTTCTGAACTTCCATTTGTGAATACATCAAAGAGACTAACACATTATTCAGTTCTGCTCTATTATTTTCATTTATACTGAATCCTTTGGTTGGGCTCGACAGATCATAAATTCTACTTTTAGTGCACTAATTGTAAAAATTCAACAGAGCAAATATGTTGCCAAGTTTAAAAAAAAAACAACAAAAACAAAATTAAGTCAAAGTTTTGTTGATATGTACATATGTACATTGTATGTATATATAGTATGTACAGTGCACCTATATACTCGTATTTATGATATATTAAAGCATTTCATATTTTCCAGTCAAGGCTATGTATTCTGTTTTCGGATTGTGTGCGATTTTATTTTCATGTCAACGATTGTGGCTCGGAAAAGTTTAGAACTTGACTAATGTTTATTCACTGAATTTATAATACGCAAACTTTTGTGCAATGCAATACATGTCTAAATAAATAAAAACAAAAACAAAAACAAATATTATATTTAATATGAGGAGTAGTAATTCATGAGCTTTAAACATAAAACGTTTTGTAAGAGATTGTAAAAGAAAATAATTTAAAAGGAATATTAATTTTATTTTTAATTAATTTTTTTTTAATCTTTTAATTATGGTAGCGGCTCTTTAAAACCTTCCCATATCATAAATTATCATAATTAGAGGGCACCACTTTCAAATGCAATGTGTGACAGCAATGAAATGGAAAGACTTTTTTATTTCGATTAATATTTAGTCACATGGAGAGTGAGGCCATTCTTATAAGTTCACTTAAGTGTAAAAATTTAGTGCTTCTCAATCAATAGGGAATGGTTAGTTATGATTCTTGTGAGAATAACTTGACCAGCTCACAAATTTAAGCTTGTATTTCTTGGGTAGCTCTTATGGTATACATCTGTTCAAAAAGGGGGGTTATTTTAAAAAAGCGTAATACTTTGATCTCATCACTCACTAAACTACAATATGCCATTGTCCATTCTATATCCATTGTCATATATAATATGTTATCATAATGATACTGTTCAAACTTTTTATTGAGCGCAACACAATTTGTGACTTATTAAATGCATAGTTGCCGTCAACTATTGCCCATTGGTTTGCCCTTAAAATTGTCGGCGAATATCGTTTCTTTTCAATATCGTTTCTTGCGTTATCTTCGTTAATCCATTTGGGTTTCTAAACATAGTTAAGGGGTCCCAAAAAATTTACATTCGTTATATCTACCAATGAAGAAAAGCCATTGAAGAAAAGAATAATAAATCGTTAACAAATGGATAATTATTAACAGAATAAATATAACAGGAATATAAATATAGCGTATACCATAAACTAGAATCGTGGAATTATTTATAAAAGCACCGAGCAAGAATAACTGAAATTTTGTAATAGAAAATAGAATAAAAAAAAAAACTTTCAGATAGAGAAGTAGTGATTTTGTTTTTAAAAGTATTTATAGGTTATACATATCTGTTTTTTATACAGATATCACTATTACACTATAGAATTTTCCACGGATTCCTCTATTCAACAAAGGTCCTTGCGATTTTAGACATCAGTATCTGAACACTTTGGCATGAAGTTTCATTTTTTCAATAACAAAAATAATAGGTTTCCCAGTTTCAAAAGATCTCAGATTCTCAGATTAATAACTGGTTTCTTAATTAAATTCATTTTGTTAATTACTCTTTTTCAAAGATAGAATAAAAGGACTTTGATACTAGCTTGTTCTGTTGAAAGCAGGTTAAAACATTTGTCTGTTTTATTTACTTAAGTTGTTCTTAAGGTCGTTAAGAAATAAGTTTCGTGCCTCCATCTGGTTTTCATTAAACTAAATGAGGCTTGGGATCTTCAACACATAAATATTGTCAAAGCTATCAATCAAAGCCCTAATTTTTTCGGATAAGCTTCGAATACTTCGTCTAGAGATACTATAATACATATTATAAGTGGCTTAGTGCCATTGTTGTTTTTAGTACAAAAAATTGGATATAGTACAGTGATCATATCTTTCATTTAATCAAATTTTTGAAATTATATGATAAATAAAAGTACTTTAACCAATGATATTTAAATTTGCTGCAATCACTTTCCATTGTCTAAAAACTTCATATTCTGTTTCTTTAATTTGCAAAAACTATTCAGAAACAATCAATTTTTTTTTATTTAAATCAGTAATAAAAAGCTCAACCTTAGGAGTGTGAAGTCCGTATAAGTACTTGAGATTTTAACTACCTTAGATTAATAATATATTTTATTAATTTCAAGACGGCAATAAAAAAATTCTTCTAATAAATAATTTTAAAGCAATGCCAGTTGAGTTGATGGCAATGCTTTTATTTGTAGTTATAAAATAAAATAATGTTTATTTTTTAGACAAGTATATTTTGCCATTAGCAAATCAGGATTAAAAAATATATGTATTAACAGTAGCTTTCTATTTTCCAAACTGGTTTCGTTTATGACCAAAAATGAGAGTTTTTATGACTTTTGTTTTGCTGTCCAACAAAATTGTATGAAATCGAGAACCCGGCAATTCTTCCAAATATTAAAGAGCTTCAGTTTATGTATTAAAATTTGGAATAAATTTTATAAAAACTATCTTTTAAACTATCTTAAAATTATATTAACTTTAAGTACTTCAGATGGACTTGGTCAAGTTTAAGTAATATTTGTGTTAAAAATAATTATAATTTTAATTTAATTTGTTCACTTATTTTGGAATAAAAAAAATCAAACAACAATTTTTAATAAAATATTTTATAATATAGTAATAAAAATAATAATATTTGTAACAATGTAATTATAATATTAATGTTAATAATATAATCAACTTACCAAACGTATTGCCAGCTTTTACTACTAATTCGTAGAGCACATCCTTCTTTAGACCTTCTATATTAACAGAAGTATCCTTAACATCTATGCGACGTATTTCCGTTGTATTCGGCATGCTGGTGCCATTTCCCATAGCATCCAAATTTGATTCGCCCGAATCATGCGGCAATAAAGCTGATTCATGATAGAATATTCTATATCCATCGACTACATTTGGATTCTTTGAAGGTGGATCCCATCTAAATAATTAAAACAAAAATTTCATGTTATGAGGATGGGAATAATATTGTCTATTTTATAAAAAAAAAGGATGAAACATATATAAAACTATATATGAATCTATATATATAATCTAATTTAATTTAAATTTCTTATCTTTTGTAATCGAAAATAATTAAAATTTCGCCTAGATCTAAAATTTATTATTTTTTTTATAAATTTTTAAAAATTTAAACTCTTAGTACCAGTCCAATGACTATAGATTCGCCTAGATATATTACTATTTTAATTTTTTTTATTTAGAGGGGTTTTTGAATAACAAAGAAAGAAATAAAGGACAAACACGAATACTTTATTCAAAAATTTTTTTTATTTAAATTGTGATTAGTGCTTGGTTTCGTTTTAAACTACAAAGAGACTATAGAGTCATGTGATTTTGGCACAGTCTGATAATACAAACTTCTGAATCAGAGACTTCATGTGAATTATTCAAATTTCTTCCATTCAGTTGGGGTCTATTATTAAAAGAAAATATTTTCTACAACCGAAAAGCCTTTCACAGTCTTGTACACTATTCGTCTAAATATTACTTAAACTAAACAGTAATCATAATAATAATAATATTTCTCAATAGCAAGCATATATCATGTTTTATAATATTATACAATAATGTAATAATATTTTATTATTATTGTTATAAGCATTAGCAATTATTTAAAATTTAATTTGATATATTATTTTAATTAATTGAACATTTTGGCTGGTCATACAGATGCTTCGAATATAGCCAAATATTCATCGTAAGTGGTCTTTCGAAATGTATTTTTTTAATTGGCAATACGTCTCTTTCCGACAATAAATTTTAAGGTAAAAACTTGATATTAGCAGTCCAAATATTATATGGGGACCAATATTTTATTATGGTTTATTATAATATACATATATATTATATATAATATATGTTATATATATTTTTGGACTGTTGTTTTTTTGAACTTATTGATTCAAAATTCTAAGTTTGTTGTCCAAGAATTAAACACAGACCAGTAATTATAAGGAATTTATAGATTGTTTTTGGACTGTTATTATTTCTTGTTTAATAGATCATTTCTATGACCTAAAAATTATATACGCATCGATAATTAATTACAGTTTAATCGTTCGTGCATAATTTTTGAACTACAAGTTTTTCTAGTTTGATTGCTTCGAAGATCTAAGCTGCATATTTGCAGTCCAAAAATTATATATGGACCATAAAGTAATTAAGGTTTAATAGTTCGTAAAAAGTTCTGAAACCTCAATTATAATAAAAATTAAAAATTTGAAGTTTTAAGTCTGATACCTGAACTTAAATTTTATATACGAATTCTTAAGTCAATACATATTTCCAAAAACTACTGATGATAAATATTTGGAATATAATCGAAAGAGCTATTTAATCAACCTAAAAACTTAATTAATTAAAAATAATATTTTTGTTCTATTTTGTTATTATTAACCCTTCTTCTATTTAAAAATAATTTTCCTATCAAATTTGACTTTACAAATTTGATTTACAGAAAATTTTTTTTTAAAAGCGCAAATAATTTGTAAATAATTTTAAAATGACGCCCAAATATAATTTAACACAACCGATAATACTCACTTAATGACAACTTCACTTTCCGAAACCACACTAACCGCAATATTCTCAGGTGGGCCAGGTAAACGGTCCCTATTTGACTCGAAGCAACCAACAATGGTGCGCGCATATTGCAGACTGCAAATTTCTTTCGAGCGCACCGCTTCACCTCGACACCAATTTAGGCATTTACGTGGCACATTAGCATCCGCACAACATGACCGATGATCTGAGCCATCGGCAGCACATTTCATGAGCTTATCAAAGTCAACAATACACTCTGGCCTATCGGCAATTGCATCGATGTCAACATAGTAGCTGCACGCATTGCGACACGGTAGCGATACATTCATTTGAGCACAACATTCCGAAACGTTCTGATGCAGGGGCGGAGTGTTGCGTATACGCACCGAAACAGGTATTGTCGATGCACCGAAAGGATTCTCTGCATGACAGAAATAATCACCAACATCAGTCGCTTGCAATTTATTAATGCGCAACGTCATTGTGTAGAGCGTAGGACGTGATTCGTTAGTTTTCATTGATATGTCATAATTGCCGCCTTGTATTACAGGAATACGACCGTCATGATCTCGCCAGAAAATTGTTTTAGGTTCCGGATTCGAATTGACCATACAACGCAGAACTACTTCATCATCAACAGCAGCAACGGTAACGCTCGCTGCTTGTATTTTTGGTGGATCTGGGTAATAAATACATTTAATTTATATGTGTATATGTGTATGTATGTATGTATTTGGAAATAATGGGTGTATAGTGAAAATATGTAGAATTAAAAATTGTATTGGTTTGTGCTCTCCAAGGCATACTTACAGCAAATGTTAACACGTCTGGTTGCCTGCATTGGCACGCCGTAACCGTTATCAGCATAGCAGGACACATGTTCCATGTCGGCGGTGACATTGTGGATTACAGTAACCATATGCCTGGAAGTGTCCTGACGCACTAAATGTCCACCCACGTACAAAGATATCGTAGGCGCTGGATTACCCAAAGCTAAGCATAAAATTGTCATTGAACCGCCTTCAGCTACATTATCTGCCGGATGCACTGTCGGTGGCTGTTGCAAACAGAAAATGTGAAATCATTAAATTTAAATTTTTATAAATGCTTAGTACGTGCAACTTACATCGACAAAAGCTGGTAATGCCGGATCGGTCCATGCAACTAACGTTTCTGAAGGTAATGACGTCGCCTTCTCACCAATTGCTTCCACATAGAGTATGTGTTGAGAGCTCGGTTTCAAATTGTTCATGCGTAAGAATGCAACTTTCGTTTCAATTTGAAAGAATTTTTCCGCTTTCATGGGCTTGTGATAGACTCTGCAGTAGCACAGAAAATAGAGAAAATAGTTCGAAGGTTATATGATGTTCATGTTTGTGTGGCAGGAAGGAAGTTGCTTTTGTGTTTGCAAACTTCATATTGTACGTGCATATTTACCTGTAAGAGATTTTTTCATGTGGATGCGAATACTCAGGTGGTTGCCAAGTAAGCTGCATCCAAGTAGCACTTTGCGCTATAACTGCCAAGGAATGTGGCGGTGATGGTGCACCATAAATATCTTTTGCTCTATCCTCAGCTAAAGTTAAATTGAAAAAGGCAAATAAAACAAAAGCAACAACTAGAACAACAACAATAGCAACAATAACTGGAAACAAGTTAAATAATAGCAATAAAGGAAATTTGGCTTAGAGTACAATGTCAACCTCATTGCAGCTTATTTCGGTTGTTTATGGATCGGTCGAAGGCAAAATATTTCGCACGTGCCTCAGTCATTGCTGCTCGTACTTAAACGCTTATTTACTGTGTGTTTGGCAAAGTACGGGTATTTTAAGCATTTTATGTATTTTATGTATTTACCTTTCTCGGTTGTATTGATCAGCAGCATTGAAGATGGTAATGATGTGCCAAATTTTCCACGCGCCACCACCATGATGCGGTACAATGCGTGCGGCTCCAAATTTGTCAAATCGATGCTCGTCTCGTTGGTGGTCAATTCCTAGGAGGGAAATAAAACCAAAATAAAGCAAATATTCGAACAATGCGAACAAAGCAGTTATGCACTAAAATGGCGAAAATGGGCAAAATGGATAAAATGGATAAAATGGCAAAAAATCATTGAAAACGAACACACACAGAGACAATTAGCATTGTTCGGATATATATGGTGCGAGCATGTCCAATAATTGGAAGTGGACCAACTATTAAAGTGCATAATTTATTTGTATTTGTGGTATTTGACGTTTGAAAATTTATTCTCTGATTTTATATTTATTTTTTATTTTTTTTTATTGAACATTGTTTTGTTTATTTTTTTCTCCTTTTTTTTTGGTATTATTTTATTGGTTTTTTTTTTGTATATTTAATATGGCAGCTGCTGCTAAGCCGACAAACCAAAAACATTTGTGCAAATCAGCAATTTGTGTTAATTACAACACGCCAAATAAAATTTTAAGCAGTTTAATTTTATTTCGCTTAACAATTTTTTTTTTTTCATTCATTTATTCATTCATACATACATTCATTCATGTATTTATTTATTTATTTATATACTAATTGTTGTTCAGCACAAGCGAAACTTTTGTTTTCGCTGCTCTAAGCCAATTCAAATATGGTTATACTGCGCTTATCGGTCGCATTACGTTTTCAAATTGCTGGTTGCATGCATTAAAATGCATTATTCAAGCACCACAATTTAAAATGTAAGTCAATGGCAATGTGGTTCATTTGACTTTTTTTTAGCGCTTTTCGGCTTTTTTTGACTTTTTTTTGGATAATTTTGTCTTTTTTTGGATATTTTTGGTTGAAGCATAAATCTTTATTTAGCTTGTTTGCTAAATCCAGCAAGTTTGTGCGATGATGAAGCTTATGTGCTATGTTGACGTTGCTAGTGATGATGTGTCGTAGCAACATACTTGCACTGCAAGTGCAGAGTTGCCAAGTATGTAATAAAACGGCAACTAGTAAGTAGTAACTAATACAATAAGCCAAAGTCGTTACGTGCATTACTACACATTGCTTACGAGGAAGATGAGAGGAAGTGTAATGGAGCAGTAAACATTAAGTAATATCGCAGTTGAAACGGATTAGTTAGAAGTATAAATCCTTGCTATATTTCATAGATGAATTGCTTCAAAATTACTATTTACATGTGTGAAACTTAAATATGTTCTACATAGTAAATAAATATATAATAGAAAAGTAATAACTACGAGATGCAAAATGAGATATATGAGATGTAAAATTGGTAGCAGTTTAATTATGGTTGCTTTTGAAAAAATTAAAACGAGGAAGAGAAACATGTAACTTAGTGAAATACTAGACTGGTACGAGCTTCTAATTTGTGACAGTTACTAATTAAAATTTCAAGTATTTTCTATGACCACTGATATGATGAGTACTTGGCAAAACTCGAAACAGCGTTATATGGTCAGCCAAATTTTAATAAATTAACTAAAATTTTTGTTATTGTCTTTTCAGTTCTATTTGAAACTTTCTAACTTTTAAAGAGTTTTTTTTTGGTCATAAGAAATACTATTTTTTGTAATTATTAAATTTTTTAATTAAAATACAAGATAAAAGTATAAATTGCTAACATTTGACTGAGGAACAGAAACTCGCCTTTTCAAAGAAAGGCGACCCTCGTGGAAAGATATCTAATAAAGAAATGTAAGTTTTAAAAAAAAGAATTTCATACACAGATATTTTCTTCAAAATGACGATTTAGAAGAAAAGATATCTTTTAAATAAAAGTGAATGACAAAGAAAAGTGACATCCAAGAAAAGGTGACTTTTAATAGTTACTTTTAAAGAAAAGTGACTTGTAAAGAATGAAAAATATCAAAGACAGATATCTTTGCCATAAAGGTAATTTTCAAAGAAAGGCGCCTTTCAACGAAACAGGAATTTCAAAAAAACTTATTTTCAAGAAAATGCATTTTTTAAAGAAAAATGAATTTTGCGAAAAGCTGACTACTAATAAAAAGCGACTTATAAAGAAACAGGAATTTCGAAGAAATGTGGCTTTCGAAGAAAAATGATTTCCAAAGATAAGTAACTTTTGAAGAAAAGTGACCTTCATAGTAAGGTGTCTTTCAAAGAAATGTAGCTTTAGAAAAAAGTGACTTTCTAACAACATGACATATAGGTAGCATATCTATACGAGATTGAAAAATATAACTTTACTTAACATCATAAAAGTAATCATAGTATCCACACATTTATCTCATCAAAAAATGTATATGTGTAACATAACATATATGTGTTTTGACATATCAATAAGAACAAAATGGCTTTAAACTAAACAAGTAGCACCTGAAGCATATCAGCATGCTCTAAATCAATAGTAAACAGTTCAAAAACTGAAGATTGTCTTTATTCTTCCTTCTCATCAACTTTATATGAGTTTTTGATACATATAAAATTTGTGCTATATGGCAAGTTTTTCAGGAACTTACGTTCCTGCAAAATTACGATATTCTTTCTCTTCATTGACTGGATAGAGACCAAAAAATTCAATAACACATCTGCGAGCTATCTACTAATGTAAAAAAAATACTGCCCAACTGTAAAGAATCAATCGTGATATTCGGCGTAGATTGTATTCTCTCATCACTTTTGTTTGAAGTAATAATTAATAATAATAATGCTTTTAACGACCAAACAAGTGCTTCTTAATAGCACTAACGAATGATCTTTTAAAAAGATATATAATATCTTGAATAGAATGAAGAAAAATAGTTTAGGCGACTCTGTTTATAAAGACTAAAAAACGAGAACAATCGTTTTATAAGCAGAGTCGTCTAAACTATTGTTATTTAATTTATTCAAGAGATTATATAGCTTTTTATAACATCCTTAGTTAGTGCTTGAACGATAGGCTTAATCCTTCAAGCTGTTTAGTTTTTATGAACAGAGTCGTCTAAACCTAAATTACCATCACAATAAGATAAATTAATCTGAGCTATTAGAAAGTGGTTTTTGCATAAAAAAAAAAAAACCTCAACTGAATTTTTTGTGATTTTCTGGGTTTAAACTGCACCAGGAAGGAAATATTAGACCGAAAAATCTTATTTCAATGTGATATTAAACAATCCTCAATATTGTTAGGCCGAATACCTAGTATACCTATATATATCTAGAGTATATAAAAACAAGTCACCAACGCTTGTTTGATTAACTTAAATCATTTTTATTTAAAAAGATATATACAGACACGGTTGCCACTTATGGTACTTTAGTACCAAAATTGGTACTTTTTTTTCCGTTTGGTACTCTGGTACTCATGTTCAAAAAATGGTACATTTTCGGCGACCCAACTTTATTGTGGATATTGTATTGTTTTATACTTTTTGTACATTTTATATAATTGTATTTTTATAAAAAGACAATAGAAAAATTTGGACCTTTTTTTACAGAAATGGTACCTTTTTAAACCAATTTTGGTACAGAAAAAAATTTTCAAGTGGCAACCGTGTATACAGAGAATCGATGTAAAAACTACTAGAAAAACTGATATGAAATGGTCAAGAACAGTTTCACTTTTAAAATTAATATTTAAACAAATTATGAAATTACATACACTAGCATTACCCCATAAATTTCATAACGTAACACTTTATGTCCTGTGTGTATGAATTTCACTGTCTCAGATACCTTTTGTTACCAATTACAATGCACTTTATTGCTACAATTGCTGATGACACAGCAATAACTGGAACGATTGTGTTAACTTCATCAGCTCTGCTTTAATTACATTTTCGCTCAGACGCGTACACAACACAAAGCCACGTTATTTCCATCATCCATTTTGAAAGGAAGCTGTTACCAAAATCTTCTGCTATATTTTGACAGAAGGTTAACTTGGCAGATGCACCACATCACTTAGCTGAAGTAATTATGGTTACAGTAAAGTGACTGTAACTGTGAGATACATTAAATCTACAAAGCAGAATTTCTTCTAAAAAAACTATTAGTGAGGCTGTTTGGATCTATGCAACGACATAGATATATGGAAGCATATAGTAAAGGATATAGATCTCGAATTTTTGAAGTCTTTTATTAATCATTATTTTTAATCTTTTATAAATTGTAATGAATAAATTAATTTAAAAACTACACTAAGTTATTGTGATAAGTGTGGTCTTTAAGTGTTTTAAACACTTTCGTAATTTAAAAATATTTTTTTAAAATAGTTTTAAGTGGTACCTAATCACTTCACCTAAAATAACTTTATGCATAAATATTTATGTGGAATATCTGATTCTACTAATGTGCATCGTATCATCGATCATTTAAAAGGACCCCTTAGAGAGGTTGTCGATATTCTTTTTATCGTTTAATTATCAGCACTCTGTCGAAGCGCTGAGAATATTGCATAAGAATTACAATGAATCGACTAATACAGTACATTCAAAAGTGGGTGCAGTGGAAGATTTATTCGTTCTGTTCAGTTATCAACGCTTTCAATGAACTTATTACCGTTAGGTTAAAGAAAATAATGTCTGAAAACCATCGTTCAAGTCTGAGAGAGGCAGCTGCTGCAATTTCTGGGTCTCTCAAATCTATTTGTACTATTCTAAACGATATATCTATTGGACATGAAGTACGTTACCGTTCACCTATTTGAATTTTCCTAACTCACCTAACTGAATTTTCTATGAGAACTTAACCACATAAAAGTCACTAAAGACATAATAGAATGAGTTAGTTTCGATCTCATATTCAGAAAATGCGTTGTAAGCGTTCAGTTAAGTTTAACATGCGAAGCAGTTAAAGTTCAGATTGTAGCCTTGTAATTGAGCTTAAACCGAAAAATGCACATAAAAATCGATTAAAATAAGCTTGATGTCCACAGTTTTTTTTTTATTTGTGATTACAGCGGTATTGTGTATGCAGACAGTAAATAAAGAATATGATCTGAGCGTTATGCGACTTGTGAGAGAACCTATTTGTCGAAAAAGACTAGGTTTCTGGAAAGTAAACTACTGAATTACCAGCATAATAACGCATCATCTCCTTAGGCTATCATTGTAAAGAAATTTCCAGCCAAAAACATAACAAATCTTATCTAACAGCCATCCTAATATAATGTTGGAAGTATTATTACTTCCTTAATATAATTTTGGCCGACATTCTTCTATTTCCAAATTTTAGATTACCACATTTAGCTATTTGTTTTCATTCGATAGCTGCTATAAAAGAGAATTCGCGGGGAGTACTGAACTCGAAACATTCCAAAAATATTCTGTTGACTGGGTAATTCGTTAGCGCGATTGTCACTACATAACGTGGTGTTTCACTGCCTTTATTTTATTCGACCGTATAACATTGGTATTCCCATTTGACTGGAAAATCGACTGTTATTCCCATTCGACTGTATATATAATGATTAATACATGTATGTAATCACATTTCTGTATCCCTGTATATATAATTACTACTATATATAATTATATTTTATATATATGTGTTTGTGATGTATGTTAATATGTTATCATATATATAGAATTAATATTTTAATAAAGAAATTTTTCACATCTGGTAACCCCAAGCCGCTAAATATTTGCACAACTTATTTAAAAGCTTTTCGGTATTGCATATATTAAACCTCAGCAGTTACTAGCACTGCTGCACCGCATGCTTTTACGTCTCTTTTTCCCCATAAACCAAAAAAGAAACAAAACTATCACGCATATTCCAACATTGACATCAAATATTTAAGCGCATCGTACAAGTAAGTCACTTTTGTCAATGATGCCACACTGCTGCAGCGACAAGAGTAACTGCAGCCGGCAACATTGCTGTAGTTGTCGTCGTAGTTGCAGAGTCAGTATTTTGGTTGATGGCATTGATGTGCGTACAATGTAATGATAATGATGCGATTTCTATAGAAATGTAAGCTGCTAAATTGCAGCGATTAACTAAGCCACAAATAAAATAGCAATTCAATAGATATTGGCAATCAGTGCATACAATTAGAGAGATGCACACACACACACACCAACACGCATACATACAAACACGGTGCCAGATTACTTAATGAATGTGTACACATTACGTTGCAACAACAATAATGCTATTACCAATAACAGTAGAAACAGTAGCAGTTGTACTGCGGTAATGCCAACTACCATAATTGCAACGATTAGTTACTTAGACCGAAGGTATGACTACTCGAGTACGAGTGTTTGTGTGAAATTCATATATATGTTATATGTATATATTGTATCAAGTGCACTTACATTTTCCAGCTTAGCTACGGTCTCATACATGGTCATGTTATTGACTTTACCATATTGCACAATAAAATCAATATCTGCAATTGGCGACGTTGTCGATGTCGACGTTGCTGTCGAAGAGGATGACGACATAGTTGCATCGTCTTCTTTGTTGTCTGCATAATCAGTGTCAACATGCTCTTCCATTACGGTTGCATCAGATTCACCAGTTGCTGCTGTTGGCTCTGCTATTTCTGTTGGATTGCTTGACGTGTTGCCGCCCTCGAACTTTGGTGCTACCCAAGCCAGAGTAATGCTTGAATTCGTAATCGCAGTGGTGTGCACATCTTCAACGGGTGCGGGTATAAATCTAGTGCCTGTGGAAAATAAGCACGAATTGGCATTGTATTTAATTACTATTTAATTGACAAATATTTACTCGCGCGCTACTAAATGCAACGTTTAGCACATAGCATAAAGCAGCAAGCAAACAAAATGTCCAAAGTAAACAATCAAACAAACAGACAAACAAACGGACGAGATATTTTCAATAAAGCAACTCAAAGTCAAATAAAGAAGCACGTAAAATATAATGGAAAAATAAACAAACCTTCTTCGAGGCACTGAAGTATGTTGCCAGCGTAAGATAAACAATCTGGCAAGGCCGTTGCTGAAGTTGTTACGGGCATTACGCCGCGGCAGAGTGTCAGGCAGGCTGGTATGACACCGCGTCGATTGCAGCAAGGTGTATGATCGCGACCACCAGCGGCGCAGCGAGCAATTACAGCTGGAAATAAAGTTAACAAAATTATTGAAAACGTTTTACTACTATTTTTATTTTTATTATTATTTTTAAAATATTTTTATTTATTTTTATATTCAATTCATGTTTTATATGTTATATTTTATTTTTTTTTTATACCAATTTATGGAAATTATTGCATTTATACGAAAATGGAATTGATGTAGTGGAAAGCAGCGGATACACTGTTGTGAATGACTTTATGCAGATTCTGCAGAAAATGCGAATGCCAATGGATTGGGAACAGGAAAATAATCACCATTACGTACACAAGATGAACGCAGGATTTAAATTTCAACGTTGAGTTCTGTTGAAAGTTGCCCCATGAAATCAATTTCGCATTTCTGCTGAAGTTTATTACAATTCTTGGTAGCATAACTTAAAACATAAAATAAATTTCATCAAAAATAACAAAAAAAAAATTAGTAAAAAATAGGCACTTTGAAAATGGATCATCCGGTTATTATCTTACAGTATGAACTCGTAAAGGAAACTAATTTCCTGTCTTAACTTCAAAGTTTAATAGAACAATCAACAAGGAACTATAATATGACTTCATTTATAAATCATAAGAGTTTTATAGATTAAACTATAAGAAATTTATAAGGAAATTTTAAAGAAATTAAATGTAGAATTTTAATAAATGTAATGAAATTTAATTATTAAAGAGAAAATAACGTTGTTTTATTTGTTATTTTCTTTTAATTTCTTTATTTTACTTTACTTTACTTTAAAGATTCCTTAAACGGAAAAAATATGACCTCGAAAACGACTAATTTCGAAAAAGCGACAAAGAAATAAATCTAAATGAAAGCTGGATGCAGGCTAACGAAGAAAAAAAAAATTTTTTAATGGATAACCAACACAGGGACACTACCCTGAAGTATTCGCGACAAAGTTTCAGGGTAGAAACGGTCCGGACCAAAAAATAAGGTGCAGTGGAACTTAAAAAGAGTAAAGGGATAGCTAATCATGTAGAGAATTGATTATATAGCGTATAAAGGTTAAGAAAAATCCACTGGATATCGTTTTCTTCCTTTCTCCATAAAGAGGTTTTTTCGAACAGTAGTAAACTACAACAACAAAAATTTTATTTTTTATATTATTTTTAATTAATTGAATTTTTGGCTGACCAAAAATCAAGCAATTCATTTAATTTTTTTACTTCTATGAAATATTGGACTGTTGGAGCAATATCATATATTAATTTCTTTTCATTACTTAATTGTTTGAAATTCACTTTCTGTTAATAATTTTTTTGTTTTTTACAGTATATGCTTCGGTTTTTTAATTATGTTTTTATATGAGAACATATTTATACTATGTTCAGACAACCAAAATACAACTAAAAATGGCATGGTATATCAGGTATGACGATGTATATCAGGACTTAAGAGTCGAGAGCGTGTGAAAGTACATCAAAAACAGAGCACTAAACCTAAATCTTTCTGGGGATGCTGGTATTAATTCAGAATTGCTCTCTCTTTTAAAAAATTATATATACATTGCGTCAAGAAAATATGCTGAGCTTTGAATTACATTTCTATAAAATTATCTGATTATGAGTTATAATGTCATTTTAAATATATGCTCTGAGAGCAAATCATAAAAATTTAACCTTTAATAAACAAGTTACGTATGCTTAAATGTCGTACTGAGTAAACCTTGACTGAAAAATTTATATATATACTGTTAAAATCTTTGCCAATTTTATTCATAACTTGTGTTGAACATCTACATATAACTCAACCATGGTCAAGCGTTCGAGTTATTATACATTTCGAAAAAATATGAATATTGAATATTACATATTACATATTCAATAGTAAGCAACAACAATCAATTAAAACAGCCGTGGAAGCTCAAACTTCAACATCGAAATTCTGCATAAACATCAGTTAAAAACAATTGAGAGAATCGTTAAAAGTACTTACTATATAACCAACATCCAAACTCATCACAAAACTCTATTAGAAAAAGATAAAGATAACTTTGACTCTTCTTTGCTAAAGACAACCTCCAGCACTACTGATAGATAAGCGGACGTTGGCATTATAATAAAATGAAAACTTACCACTCTAAAAAAAAAATCGTTGATATTTGCCAGATCTTTACAAATCTGTTAAGCAACACACTACTTCAGTTCACAGCCTAACTACCAGAACAATGAAATTAAAGATGTCTATAGTAACTGAAGAATACTATGCAACATTACTTACTAAATGAAGACCGTATTGAAGTGGCCAGATGTCTCCGTCTGGATCCAAGTTAACATTCAATTATATCCCACCAACCCATTTCACCTTATCATCTATCCTCCTCCATCACCCATACCACTACCAACCCACTTCTCTATCCATATAATCGTCTTGTATATCCTTTTATGTTACCTACTTACAGGTCCCAGCGGGTTACAACAACAACAACAACTTACTAACTGAAATGACGTAATCAACAGAAAATGGACTCATTTCGTTTAACTAAGAAAATGCAAGTGTTCCATCTTCACTAGTCGCCATGGCAAAATTTCACGAATAACATTTCAAATTAATTAATCGTCCCCCTCATTTGTTACATTTGTTCCCTAGAGATAATTTTTTTTTGTATTGTAAATATTTGACTCGGACAGCTAGAACTCTAATTAAAAGAAACTGATTTAATTTAAACCTCATCTAATTAAAAGATGAGGAAAAAAGTTGGACTATCATTTAAAAAAGTCTATCAGGAGAGGATTATGTGAAAAAACAAATAACAGCAAAAAAATTATCCATATTGGTAGAAGAAAATTCTTCGGACTCTTTAAGTAGAAAGCAAATTTAAGTGGATAGCTCCTGAAACAAATCAATGTGTTAAGTGGCAATTATTTAAAATATTACTTCAAAAATTTTAATTTATGTTAGCTGAATAAGTAATGAAGACTTCCTAATCAAGTATAAATTATAATCTATTATGTCATATATATGTTACATTATATCATTATACCATATATTAAGTTATTAGCAATGTAACATTAATATGTTTTTAAAATACAAAACGTTTTATTATTCTAATATAATAACAAATAAATTAAAAGATACTTACGCATTTGAGCTCTGCACGCTGGGCCCAATTTTTCTATATCAGACATGCGAATATTATAGCTACACAGGGGTGCACATTGTGGTAATAGGCCAGAAGCTTTGCAGCATGTTGTCATATTATAAGGACTTTCAGTTTCTTCTTCAATCTTAGCTGGTTGTGTTCGAGTTATTAAACGAGGTGAAGGTTCACTTTTGCCGTAGGAGTTCACCGATACCACGTAAAACTCATAGTATGCTTCAGGTTCTAAACCCTCTAGGATTAGAGGAGGTGCTTTCTGAAATAATTGTAAATATTATTTATATACAAAGCTTAGTTTTTTAAGTTAATTTTTAAGTTTTAGATAGGTAGGTAGGTAGGTTGTACCAGTGATCTCAAGGGACCCACTTAGGCCTATAAACTGATTGTGTTACCCCATTTTTTAGTTTTATTGATTAATACCTTATATAAAGTAACTATTAATAATAGTATTGATACATATCATTAATTTATATTTATTTATATATTTTATATTTTTTCCATATTCCAATATATTCTTGGTATCAGCTAACGGTTCTAGAGTTGATGCAAAAAACATGTTAAGCATCATTGAAAATAGAAAGGTTCGAACAATAATGAAGAAACAACAACAAAAATTTCAATAAATTAACTAGAATTTCCTTTCATCATAAGACACGACACATTTGACAAAAAAAAATTGAAAATATTTGAAATTGGAATAAGTTTAAGTTTGGCTTGGGTGTTAATATAGGCATCTATGGTTCAAATCGGGCAGGATTTGATTGCTGACATATGTAACTCAAAAAGTTTTTGCGGAAAATTAACTTAATGAATGCTAAAGACCACTGCTAATGTTTATTTAGTTATATAGTCCAAGAAGTTAAAACTTGATTAAAAATTAAATTTTTCATTTGGACAATTTACCACTTCTCTATTCGATATAAATTTTTTTTCAAAGGTAATAAAAATTTATAATGGAAATAATTAACATTTATATAAACCTATATAAAATTTTATTTTTATTACAAATTTTAATATATTTTAAATAAAAATTGATTATTTCAAAAATTGAAAAATTTAATTAAATGCAGTTTCAAGCTGGCCTTACTACTGAGTAATGTTGTAAATATATATTTAGCAGTAATCCTAACAGACATGTGGTCAGTTTAAAATATCGTTTTACTAAACTGTATCCATTTTCCCACTAAACATGAGCAACTCAACAAATGTTTTGCATATCCTTGAAATACTTCCATTAAACAGTCACATTTGATTAATGAGTTTTATATCATTTTCAATAATTCAATATTACAAAATATAATATAATTTAGTGAAATTTTTTTATTAATGCATTTATGCTTTCGCAAAATTTTCAGTAATTTAATTAACTTTAATCAGCAAAGCAATAATATTTTTAATTAAATTTTTATTATAATATACGGGTATATTAAAATTTTTTGCAATACCTTTTCAATTGTGAGGTAGTCCTCACCAACGCCCAAACGCCGAAATTTAACGTGATAACTGCTTATGGTCTCGGGTAAAGTTTTTGGTTTATTCCAATCCAGTATAACGAAATTATCTGTTTTTGCCACTGTTACGATTTTCGATGGTGGCCCCGCTAGCACCCCATATCCCTGAAAGAGGCAACTGCTGAACTCAGGCATAAAACGCAAACACCTAAAAGAAATTAAAAACGTATAATATCTTTTTATTTGTTACTTAAATTTTATGCAATTTCATTTTCTTACTTAAATAAACTAAAGTTCAACGCTGTAACCTGACCGGTGCACAAAGGAAAGCAAGCGGTTGGGATGCCTCGTGAACGACAGCATGGCGTATGATCGATATTATTTGCCAAGCAATTGAACGTGATATTCGTCCAAGGCGCGCAAACCATAAAGTCCGGCAAACGTGCCAAGTCAGCTTTTTGTGGATCACACATCTTTTCCAAGCACATGCGATGTGTCATGCCATTCGCTTCACAGCAACCACGTATGTCTGGCAAATCTGGTGCATTCGTTTTATTGGTCTGACCGGCTTGCTGTTCAGCTGCTGAGTCGCTGTTGTGAGTGAAAATACGTAAACGTTCACTTGGCAGACTCGAACCAAAATCATTGACTGCAGTTACGGTGATAGCATACATCGTCAGTGGATTCAAATAATTTATCGTTACTGTATTTTGACTGTTAGGCACTGAACGAATAATTACTTTTTCGGGTGAACGTAACACATCATCTTCATCATTAGCATCGTCTTCATCAAAGCTATGCAAAGCGGTTAAATTAACAATGTAATGATCGACTTTGTGTGACAATTTCTCTGGTGGAGACCAATAAATGGTTACTGAATTTTCTGTAATATTGGTGGCTGAAACTGCTACCGGCATGCTTGGTATCATTTGTACGCCTTGCAATATGCATTGTAAGCCACTTAATGTGTGATGCACACACGACACGCGTGTCTTGAGGTGGTCAGTGAATGGCGTGTACTCACCACGACACATATCTTGACACAAATCTGGTATTTGTTTTTCCACACAACATGGCACATGGTTGCGTCCATCAGCCATGCAACGCACAATACTGGGAAAATCTTTTTCGCATGCTTCTGGTTCAACGCCTGTTGTGCCATCGAGTATATTGTGCACATTACAGAAGCCCATGCACTCCGATGTAACATTACCTCTTTCACAGCATTCTGTGAAATCGTGTGTAATTTGTGGTGGTATGCTGGGACGCCAGAAGGAACGATTATCTGTGGCGTCAAGTGGTGGTGGTACTAAGAACAAATCACTAGAATCTGTTGTTTCTATCACTGTGCTATTCGTACTACTTGACGGCAATTGTTTAACTAATCCAATGAATAGTTCATAATGTAAAAGTATATATGTATAAAGTATATATAAGTAGAAAATCTTACCAGTTAATATGTGTATACTGCGTAACGCAGGTTCAGAATTTAATTCGCATATATAACTACCAGAATCTGTAGATTTAAGTCTTTTTATTAGTAATACCCAAACTTCCCCACCTGAACCACCAATTCGACCACGCGGATCTAGTGTCAATTTTAATTTATGTGAAAAATTTAATATAATTGGCATAGAAACGACTTACTCTCATCGTGTAGTACACTTATTCTAGAATCGCTGGAGACGCGCACCATACCAGCTGTCAGAATTTCTCCCGATTTCTTCCATATAACTGTATTGTTCGAGCGGTTTTCTGATACCACGCATGTAAGTAATGCATCTTTACCTTCGTATATTATTGACGGACCACCAGTTCCTATGTTTATTACATTTAGTTATGACACATTTATTTATAATACTTTTTTCACTTTTATAATGAATACGTATTAATAAAAAGATCTTACCAATTGGCACACCAGAATTAACAGTCGAAAATAAGCATGTTGAGGTTGTTAATATCACCAGCAGCTTAAGCATTATTCTCACTGTGGCCGCCTGTAATGAAAAAAGAAAATCAATTTATTTAACATATTATATTAATAATAATAACTATAATTATATTTAGTTATAATAATAAAGTATAGATGATATAATAGATCATTAAAGAAATTTGCAATGGATCGTTATTCGGCAATATACCACAACGAAATAAAAACCAGTTTTTTACGCAAGGTCCTGATAACTGATGTATGAAATAATGTTCAATACTTATTACACATGAGTGTGGTACAGAGAGTATACAGATAGACGCCGACACATAAGGTGGAGTACAATTTCCTCCTCGTCCGAAGAACCACAACCCCATCAAAAGTCATTATAGGGTACACCCAAACTCATCTGTACGTATTACGCATTAACCCGTTAGCACCGATAGCGTAATACTACGCAGATTCCATTTAAAATGAAGCAGCTGACTTGTATGTTTCTTGTCCAATTTTTACAAAGTCGATCTTAAGATCTGACAGGAGGGTTCATCTGCTCATGTATGTTTGTCTATGCCTAGACGATTTATTACTCAAATTTCTGATAACAAATGTATAGAAAATATATTTTTTTTACAAAAAAATGTTCGTACACATAGTTAACATAAGTTTTATAATAGTGAAGGATTCCAAAACTTATTATAAGTATCTGAAAAACTTTTATCTGGAAAGAACACGACAAATCAATCAATGCTTATGTTATGCTCTTTCTGTAATATTTTTTTTAATGCTTAATACAATGTTTAACGTGATCTAACAAGGAGTCGAGTGCCCTAACAATAGTTACATGTAGTTGTCCCCTAAAAAATAATATCATCCCACAATAACTTTAGAATTCCATCACAGATAATTTTCTTGCAATAAACTGAGATGTGATTGTTTCGGTACGCTTTTAAATAATAAAATCAGTTGTCTTTTAATGAAATTTAGACGCAATATTAACACTAGCTCAAAACTTATAACATAAAGGAATTGGTTGGACTTCAATTAGGTCACACTGTACGTTGTCAATTGCTTTTTGAAGCGTATCGATTCAAAGTAATAGGCGGCATATTGCAATGGTCTTAATAGTCCATAAATGTACCTTCACATTTTTTGTTCTGAATTCATCCAAAAATATCTATTCTTTTGACTACTGAGTGATGTTTGGTTAGTTGTAGTAAATGGGAAAAATTTATTCCATTTGCGGTTTTTAGAAATTCAATGCTAAATTCTTCTTTGAAGTTATCAGATGATGTAGTTTGTGGTTATTTTTATTATAAGACATAATTCATAACTTTTTTTGAGTTTTAAGTGTTGTCAAACTGATTTGCGAACACAGCATGCATAAAATTTGACACAAATTTACTTATAAATGAATAATTTTTATCTACCTTCTTAAATTCTTATGAAGATATTAGTTTTTTCCGTTTCTGACTGTAAATTATTTTTGAATAGGAAGTCAACCACAACCATTTTAATGGAAAAATAAGTTCTATTACTTCACATCAGCAGTTTCAAACCCTCAAACTATAATCTATCCTCAATTTTCTCTGCAGACGATATTTTAACATTGATTTATTTCTGTGCATATATTCAATTGATTCAATGCGGAGGGGGTTTCAGCTCATCGAGCTCTTCTCCTCGATACAGGTTTGTTTTCATTTTCACAAACGCTTAAAGTTGGCCAATGAAAAATATAATTAAAAATGATTGTAACAAAGTGCCAAAGATTTTGAATCTACTATAAGTGAGAATTTCCTCCTAATTCGCAGAACCACAAACACAACAAAAGTAATTATAGCCCAGTTTCATAGCATGTGATCTCTAACCACCTTTAATGTAGTGCTGAGCAGAATCCACTTAAGTTGAATTAGCTGACTGGTATGTTTTCTGTCCAGTTTAAACCAAGTTAATCTTGAAATCTGACCAGAGAGTTCATCTGCTCAGGTTTGCTCATCTGTTAAACATTTTTATTTGATTTCAGCTTGATCTTTGCAAGTTTGATATAAAAATCTAGGAAAGCAGACGGCTCCAAAACAATATCGTCTATCATGCAGTTTTCCGAGATGTTCCTGTTATCTAACTCCATATGAGTTAAATATTTTAACAGTAAAAACAGCTGAAATTTTCAACATTTTCAAAAACAAAAAATTTGTATCTGAACAAAAAGACCAGAGTAGCCAGATCATATATAACATTATATAATTTAACGATTTATGTTGAGGTGCAAATTTTTTTGTTAGTTGTGATGAAAGGAGGAATAAGTCCTCCTCAGTTAGCTAAAAAAAGCCGTTTTGAATTCACAAAACCTCTAAATAGTGGGTAGTAGAGAGAAGGTCACGCTAGAACCAACCAGAGGCATTTATAAAGGAACAAATCTGGCTATTGCTAATGCTAGAGATATCGCCGAGTGTGTTGAAGAAGGGGGCCCCCGGAAACTAAAGCATAGTTCTGGCAAAACCTGGATATAGACATATCAGGTGTTCTGGTGTCCTTTTTTCGAGACCTGGTAGACAACCATTGCTAGAAATACCACAGGGTTAGCGAAGTCTAACTCCATGCCCTCCTATAGTCCAGTGCCCTGTAAAGACAGATATTAACATAGATATCTCTGATTTGCTTCTGTGTATTAAGTTAGAGGTTGTCGACGTGGCTGCTGCGGCGGCAATAGTCCACTCACTATTTAGTATTTTTTTCTAATTATTATAATTATATTAATATTTAATCTAAAGAATTAATTTTAGTAATAAGATAAATTAAATTTTAAATTAATATTTTTAATTGAGTTATTCTAATATAATTTAGATAGTTCTGATAGTCAAGAAACTGCATTAAATAAATTTCCGTGTTTGTAACTTAAAAAAAAACAATAATTTTGTAGAGTAATTAAATTAAAATTTTCAATTAAATTAATTTATCTTCGTAAATTTTAAAACTTTGTAGGAAAATAGTTTTCCAAATAAACATTTCCATATTGTTAATCTACTAAAATCAACATAATTCACTTAGTTCGTTCAAATAAACTTGCAGAGTTGCATTCAAAGTGCACATGTGTGGTGAAATCAAATATTTCAGTCTGGAGACCACTCAACAGAATAAAAGTTAAGAGAGACGACCTTTGTAACTTTAGTGCGAAGCCGACCATATTTACTGATACGCACACACCCATGTAAAGCAGCCAACTTACTTGTGCAAGTGTAGGTGTAAGTGAAACTTTAGCAAGATTTCACACATAAATTCACAAAGTACTTGCAAAGATAGTGGCAAAGTGGCAAGGAAGCACAGCAAAGTTTGCATGCTTAACCTCTTCGACAACTGTAAATTCTCACCTTTTTTTTTGGAGAAGTTTACTGTTCGATGAGGCGTAAAAATCTTGAGTAATAACTTTACGATATGTAAACTAAAATTGTTAATACTTTTATAATTGTATATACAAACAAGAAAGAATAACAAAACAATAAATATTATTTTTTAAGAAAATATATGTAATATTGAAAGAATAATATTTATAACAAACTATTTACCTTGAAATGAATACTGTAAACTAAACTTGAACTTGTAACCTCCTGAATGTCTAGGTTACAGCAATAGCACCAATAACAACAATAAAAAATCTCAATAGGGAAATATACACCACATAAACCATAAACATTAAGACCAGTAAAAACAATAACAAATTGAAACCGTCAAATGCTCAAGACTAGACTTAATTTTGTCACTTGTTATTGTTTCTTTTTTAATTGTAATATTTTTGCGGTTTGTGTTTTACTTACATTATTTTTACAACAACAATAGTTTTGTCTTTACAATCTTCATAAATAGTGTTTACTTTTCAATGTTACTTGAAGCAACAACAAATACAACACACAACAAGTTTACCTCTTAACAAAAGCAACAAAAAAAATGAAAAAACACAGAGCAACAACAATGCCAAAAAACAAAAACAAATAATGCACAATGATTTCATAATGAAATGTGACTTTTTGCTTTGTTTTTCATTGACAAATGCACTTGTTCATAGCTATGTTTCTGTCTGTATTTGTGGTCTAAGCAAAAGCTTCTGATGTGCGCCAATGGCATAAACTTCAGCTTTGTCATTTACTCATACACATAAGGGTATGTGTAGGTTGCTACCATATTGTACTTATAGAAGTGCGCCAAAATTGTCAGTAAAGCAGCAGCAGCAGTAGCAGCAGCAGCAGCAGCAACAATCACATGACTTGTTGTGTTACATCTTCCCTATTCCATAATGCTGCTAGCATTATGTTTCATATGCCAGCACGTGTGTATGTGCTCTTTATACCTACTGAGAAAACATTGTACTAGAAGAAGACAAAAACAAAAAAAAACTGTTAACGCTCAAGTAACCGCATCAACATTAACAGCAGCATAACATCATCACTGCTACAGCGTATTGGTATCAGAAGCAACTCAAGCGAAGGTGCTAATGAGCTTTTCAAGGGGACCATCAACACCAACAGCTAGTTTTGTCATCTTTGCTTCTATGTTTTGCTTTTGGTATAATTATTACTGTTGTTGTTGATGTTGTTGTTGTTATTATTGTTGTTGTTCCCATACTTATTTTGTGTAACTTAGTGTGTAATTCTGTTGCTCTTGTTGTCTATGCCTCACTGTTATGGCATCTGCTTATGTTACTACTGTTGGTAGTGTTGTTATTACTTACTTTGTTATTCTTTATGTTGTTTTTGTTGTTGTTTAACGCCATACTTGCTTGTTTAAGTTTAATGTAGATTTTATTTTAATTAAAATTTTGCATGTCAACTATGTATTTCGAAGGTAGTTGGGTTAAGTGCGTTATTTTGTTTTTTATATCAAAAATTTCTAAAATTGTTTTTGTTTTCCTTGTTATGTTTTTTGGTATTTTGGCATAAATATGTGCTTGCGGCATCTTTCAGCTACAATGAAGCAACATAATTTTGGTTAACTTTAGCGTTACCAGCCCGAAAATATTTGCTTAAAGCAAATACTTGTATGTTTTTTATGTTGCTGAAGAACATCCTTGTATACTTTTTGA